CAGGTAGAACCACAGGTAGAACTCAGGTAGAACCACAGGGAGAACCACAGGGAGAACTCAGGTAGAACCACAGATAGAACTTTCTGTACAGATTCTGACGGACAGGATGAGACTCAGGTGAAACAAGTGATGGAGGGAGAACACACAAATGGAGAACAAGAACCAAAGACACATGAGGAAAGAGATCTTTGGAAGTAAAACACAACAGAAGAACATTCACGATATTTTCCCGTGTTCTGTTGGTTCTTGCAGCCTGATGTTGGACGAGACGACGTGGATCCTCACTTCAGACACCTCTTTGCTCAGATCTCTGGAAACGTAACAACAGCGTTCTGTTGCTCAGTTTACAGCTCCGGTTCTCCGGGTTCCACTCTGACCTTTTGTCCTCCTGTTCCCTCAGGACTCGCAGATCTCAGCCTTCGAGCTGCAGCAGATTCTGGACAAAGTGGTGACGCAGAGTAAGAACATCGTCACAAACACAGGAACATTCAGTTGTGGACTCCAGGTTCTGGTTCCTACCAATGATCCACATCAGCATTTAGTCTGAACATGTAGAACCAGAACCTCGTCTGGTCCAACTTCACCACATCAGGTTCTGCTGATGTCAGAGCCTCAGCAGTTGGTGAAATGGATTCTAGTAGAACCATGGATCCGTCCATAGACAGACACTGACGGGACCGTTCTGGATCAGCACCAGCCTGCTGGAAGTTGTGGGAGTTTTGTTTCTGGAGATTCTGGACCTGAAAATGGACCCACAGTTAAAGATTTAGAGGAAGGACTTTCTGACCTGAGCAGAGGAACTCTTTGTGTTTTAATCTGCTGGATTCATGTTTTCATGAGAACCTCACGTGTTCCGTCTGCTGTGTTTCAGGGTCTGACGTTAGAACCGATGGTTTCAGCCTCCAGACCTGCCGCAACATCATCAGTCTGCTGGACGTATCCTTCAGCCACACGTGGCCCATCATGTCATTCATTCATTCATTGAGCAGCTGATGGACTGGTTCTGGTTCCTGATCAGAGCTGCAGCTGATCATTAGATGGTTTCCATCCTCCAGACAAACCTGTAGATGGTCGTTAGATGTTCTGGCTTCATTAAACCTGAAATTAAAACATAACATTTCAACCACAAAAGGCAACAAGAGCAACAGCAGAACGTTTCTAAAGCGGTTCTCCTGACGTTTGTTTCTCAGTAGAACCATTGATGTTTACACATCTTTAAATTCCAGTTTAAGAAGCGTCTTCAGTGAACCTGTAGAACATCAGAAGCTCTGCTGGGGTCTGAGACGTTCAGTGAGTGAAGCAGCTTCAGAGATGAAATCAGCTGACAGCTGGTCGTAGATGTAGAGACAGACGCAGCAGTTTAAATCATCCTGTTGGAGAACATTCAGGTTCTGAACCAGTTCTCAGACTGACGGCAGCTCCACACTGGGCCTCCGGGAGTTCCACACTCTGTGGATGAAGATCCAGAGATACCTGGTGAGACCATCAGAACCTTGTGGTTAGACTGTGACTCTGTTCTGGGTCTGAAGTTCTTCTTCTTCTGTTGCAGGATGTCTTTAAGAACCACGACTCCAACGGTTCTGGTTCTATGAGCAGTCATGAGATGAGAGCAGCTCTGGCTGAAGCTGGTGAGACTCAGATCCAAAAGAACTTCTAAAGAACCGTCTTAGGGCCGAGCTGGAAGTCCTCTGTTCCAGAAACATTCTAAAAAAAAAGTTCTGCAACGTTCTACTGATGTTTTACAGAACCTTTATCTCCTGACCACAGTTCTACCTTCACACTGTGAATGTTCCAGAGGTCCACAGAGCAGGGTCCAGATTGATCACCTTAATGAGCCTCAGAACTTCATCAGAACAGCAGATAGACACATGACATTTAGGAGGAAGAACACATCTGGGTTCTGGTAGAACCTGACACCAGATCAGTTCTACATCCATCCAGGTGTCTCAGTCTGAACACTGGACCTGGTTCTGTTCATGTCCTCTGTCAGCAGCTGGTAGCATCAGTATTATGGGATGGATCATAGTGGTACCAGTTTAATGTCTATGACACAGAGTCACAGAAACAATCAGTGGTACCCTGGATGTGGTTCTGGTTCTGATCAGTCACCAGAGGAAACTTTACAAAGTGCATTCTGGGTAAACGTTCCAGGCTCATGTCAGCATGTGTGGTGGTGGTGGGTCAGAACCAGTTCTGGACGATGAAGGACCGTTTTAGCTCCAGAACCTACCAGAACCATCTGTAGACGGATCCACTCTGAGGAAGTCATTTTGTAACATTGTCAAGTTTTAAAGATTCTCAAACGAGATCTGAACGCTGCAAACGGAAGCTGTTCTAGAAACATGAACATCTTGACGCAGCAGGAATCCCGTCTAGAACCTCAGTGTTCTAGAACTCATGGTTCTGGTGCTCTTTGACCTGAAACAGCCACAAGGTTCTGCAGGATCTCAGGAGGAACCTCTTTATTTGGTTGTTCCAGATGTTCTGAAGGCTTCAGGTCTAACAGGGTTCAAGGTTCTTTCCGTTTCAGATGGTGGTTCTTTTGGTTCCAGCAGAGTTCTCCATGTGTTCCAGGTTTCCAGGTGAACAGCACCGTGATCCAGGAGATCGTGGGTCGATACGCCGACCGCAGCTTCGCCATCGACTTCGACGGCTTCGTCGGCTGTTTGATCCGTCTGGAGATGCTCTTCAGTGAGTTAAAATGAAAGAATGATAAAACCAACCAATCAGACACTCACTGGTCGCTGAGGAAGACCATGTGACGTGATAGAAAGCTCCAGAGCAGCCGCTGAAAACACCTTTTCCTCCCACAGAGATATTCAGGACTCTGGATAAGCAGAACCAGGGTCAGATCCAGCTGGACCTGCAGCAGGTAAACTGTCCTTCACTAGTCAGACTGGTCCAGAACCAGTAACTCCATCTGACCCAGTCCAGTGTCCTGTCTGCCTCTCTGTTATTGGCTCAACTCGTCACCTGACACCCATGACATCATCACAGATCTTCTCCTCTTCTCCTCCTGCAGTGGCTGTGCCTCGCCATCAACTGACGCTGCCCTGGAGCATGCTGGGAGATTCACCTGCACCACCCGAGTTTAATCTGGAGTTAATCTGATGTTAATCTGGAGTTAATCTGGAGTTAATCTGATGTTAATTTTATGTTTATCTGACGTTAGTCTGACTTTAGTTTGACCTTAATCTAAAGTTAATCTGGAGTTAATCTAAAGTTAATCTGGAGTTAATCTGATTAGTCTGACTTTAATCTGAAGCTGTCCTGATCTGATTATTATTTAATGAAAAGTTTGTGTGAAATAACAATAAAGATGAAACAGGGCTGACTTTCAGACTGTCTGAGGTTCAGCTGCACATCTGAAACCTGGTTTGTGAGCTGAGGTCACTTTGAAGTCCTCCACAGTCCTTCAGGTGTTTCACCTGTTCAGGCTGACAGGGGGCGTGTCCACACTGATTGACTGACAGCTGCTCCGCTCTGCCCGTCACTGTGGTTCTGATCAGCGGGTCATCGTCAGCTCTGGTCAGCTCGGCTTTAATAAACCTCAGAGACTGAACATCAAGCCTGAAACAGGCTTTAGTGAGTAAGAAGTGCAGTCTGAAGTTCTGTGAAGGAATCCGAGCTGAAACCTGCTCTATAGTCCAACAGTTACCTCAATGAACAAACTTCCAGCTTTGACCTTGTGGTGGCGCTGCAGAGACATGAAGCTCAGCGAGAACAACCAATCAGAGCGCGGTTACCAACTTCCTGTCCCGTGGTGGGGTTCAGGTCAGCAGGTCAGCGCTGCAGCAGGAGGCTGATGGAGGAGCTGCAGCCACTGGTTCTACCTGCAGGGGGCAGCAGCTCACCTGAACACTGGGGGAGTGAAATGGGCGAGTCCTGCTCAGGTCTGACTTCAGAGGGGTGGACTAGACGGGATGGCTGAGGATGACTCAGGCTGCAGGAATGAGGCAGGAACAGAAACACCCTCCATGCTGACAGCCCAGCAGCAGCTCACTGAGCAGCCGCCTTCAAAGTAAAAGCACCAGCAGCAGTTCTGTGTGACGCATAAAACCTTCAGAGTCTGCAGCGAAAAACAAAGAACCTGTTGTTCTGCTTCTCATCAGTCATCTGTCAGAGTTTCACAGTTTGACAGAAGTCATGTCAATCTATAATCTATCTAAAATCTACCTATAATCCATAATCTCTCCAGATTTACTGTAAAATGATTCTCGGAGAGGGGCTGCAGGTGTCTCAGTGGTTAGCACCGTTAGCACCGTTAGCACCGTTAGCGCCTCACAGCTAGAAGGTCTCCAGTTGGCGTCCCGGTGAGGACACCCNGGCAGATGCCACCCCATGCCACCCCGGTAGATCCGCCCCTGTTCCCAGACCTCAACAACTAGTCCCTGGACCGCTACATTGACTTGTTTAAACCTGTTTAAACCTGTTGCAGATCACCAGCTCGGCCGACTCGGAGGCGGTAACCCGTCAGAAGCTGGTAAAAGGCCACGCCTACTCAGTGACAGGTGCAGCTGAGGTGAGGACATCCCCACTAACAAGGCCCGCCCCCTCCGAGTAAAGGGGCGGTTCCTCTTTACATTTTCAGGAGTGAACATCTGTTCCTGCCCAGTTCAGGCAGTTGGACGGAATCTAAGTTTCAGAAAAGTATTAAAAAGATGAGAAAATTAAAATGAGCTGAAAGCTATTCAGTCAAACTGTGCGATCGGGCCCAGATTGTATTTTCCTTCAGGGCTGCAGGGGAACGATGTAATTAATGATAAGAAAAAGGAATGGAGTTTAATAAATGGCATGATGGGACAGAGGCCCAAATCCTGCCCTGCATATCTTGAAGTTGAGGGTAATTTCTTGACAAAACCAGCACAAATTCCTAATTACTTTATTGATTATTTTAATGATAAGGTAAATAATTTGAGGAGAAATATGCAGCAAATAGGTAATCCCACCTCCGCAACACTGATTAGTGATTTAATAATGAAGGATTAGACGTGTGAATTAAAATTTGAAGAAGTTACATTAGCGGATGTTGAGTGTTTCCTTAAAAGATGCAAGGACAGACCAGCGGGTGTAGATCAAGGACAGACCAGCGGGTGTAGATCAAGGACAGACCAGCGGGTGTNCTATGGGAGCCAGGGCTTTGTGGAGCCAGCAGCTAGTGGACGTAGTGATGCTGCAGGTTTCTGACACTTCAGGTTGGCTTCATGTTTCAGGGCCGGTTGCTACGTCCATCTTTATACAGTCTATGGGTGGGACACAGCCAGAGTCTTCTTCCTGAAGGGGGCGGGGCCAGCAGCAGGGGGCGGGGCCAGCAGCAGCTCATTTAAAGCTACAGACACTGAAAGAGTTCAGAATAAAACCAGGATGATGGAGTCATGGAGGAACGAAGCATCTCTGACTGAAACATTCTGACATTAGAAGAAACATTTCAAGACTCTGGAACTGCGGAAACTAAAACAGGCTTTTATTCTGAAGGGACTCAGCAGAAGTCTCACCTGTTCACTGTGCGTCTTGACGTAGTGTTTTAAAGCGACCCCACCTCACCTGGCAGCTCACCTGCAGCCTGCGCAGACACACCAAACCCTCCAGGACCCTCCAGGACTCTCCAGACCAGCAGCATGTCGGGAATCGCGGCCACCTTGCAGCACCGCCGGGAGAAGAACCAGGGCGTCGGCTCCAACAGCCAGGCGGTCCGCTACCTGAACCAGGACTACGAGGCTCTGCGGCAGCGCTGCTTCGAGTCCGGCTGCCTGTTCCAGGACGACACGTTCCCGGCGACGGCCTCCTCTCTGGGCTTCAACGAGCTGGGCCCCGGCTCCTACAAGACCCGGGGGGTGTCCTGGCAGAGGCCGACGGTCAGTGTGGCTAAAAACGATATTTTCCTAATGGAGTTTGGTGCGGACAGTAGAAACTCTCATGCCAGTGATGGAGCTCGTCCGCTGACACCAGACTCCATTAGAAAAACTGCCAATTTAAACTTTGTACAACCTTGTCACGGCCTTCCCTCAGATAGAATCACATTACAGTCACACTTCACTACATCTGTTTTTAGAGATTCTTGGGGATGTTTTCACTTCTGAGGCGGAAACAGCAGCAGATTTGTGTTGTTATCGGGCTGCAGCTGCACAGGTGAGCTCACCTGAGATCAGATAAATGAAGCTTTTATCATCTCAGTGTTTGGTTCTGTTTGAGCATCACACAGTGAAAATTCTGCTCTCTGAAAACATAGTTTGGGTTTCTGAGTTCAGAAACCTTAATGACATTATGTTCAACCAACAAACTGAGTGGAAGGAATTCGTCTGGTGTTTTAAATCACACAACGATCAGCAGAACCGGATCAAGGCCTCCAGACTGAAGCCAAGTGAAGGAATGAAGCACCAGAACCAAGTCAGCTTAACTTCAGTTTAGCTTCATATCATCTGACGCAGAACTTTGAATTCAAATTAGACACAATATTGAGAACAGAGAAGAACAATTGCAGAAGCTGCTAATGACTGGTCAGTAATTGGAGGGATGGACAGCTGATGTGATGAGCCCACATGTGGAGCAAATGGAAATCCTGCTACAATCAGATCAGCATGAAACTGTTTCTGTTTGACGTGCTTCATTAAAAGAAAAGAGAGGAGCTGTTTAACCCGTCTGCTAAACAGCTTTTTATTTTATATGATTATTTTCTATGTTAGATCCATATTTCTGAAACGCATTAAACATTTTATTCAAATTACAAAAGTAGTGAATTTACGTTTATTGTAAAACATTAAAAACCTGTTATTGTGCTTCAACATTCAATTTACTTTTTTAAAACCTTTTTTCACATAAAAATATTTAAAATACAAATTATTGTAGTTGAACAAACACTTTGTTTTACTCAACACATGAAAGGATTAGTGACCGTTCAGAAGCTGTTTCTTGTCTTCTGTGATGGAATCATTCAAACAATCATGATTTTTGGTTCTTTGGAAAAATGACAAAACTCTGCAGCTTGAGGCCTTCAACCCCAAGAACACCAGACCTACCATCAAGCATGGAGGAGGCAGCATCATGCTCTGGTTCTGTTCTGCTGCCAGTGGACCTGGAGCTTTACACAAAGTCAGTGGAACCATGAAGAAGGAGGATCACCTCCAGGTTGTTCAGCAGAACCTGAAACCATCATCAGAAGGTTGATCTTGGACACAGTTGGATGTTCTAACCAGACAATGAGCCCAAACACACATCAAAGTGGTGAAGAAATGGTTCCATCAGGCTGGAATGAAGGTTCTAGACTGGTCTCCCCAAAGTCCTGACTGGAACCATCCAGAACCTGTGGACTGATGAAGGAACAAGTCTGAGTCAGAAAGACGACGAGTTTAGTTGAACTGCAGCGGTTCTGTCCAGAGGAGTCAGAGATGGACCAGAAGCTGGTGGACGGAACCAGAAGAACCCGACTGAGGAGAACATGGACGTTTCACTAAATATGAGCAAAGTATCAGCGCCTCCATGACCTGTTTGTGTGTGTGCTTGTGTGTCTGCAGGAGCTGACCAGCGATCCTGAGTTCATCGTGTCCGGAGCGTCGAGGACGGACATCTGTCAGGGAGCTCTGGGTGAGACTCTTTAACTTGACGCCTATTTCAGAGCTGCCAGACTGGACGAACCGGTTCCACTCCCTGAACACCGAGCTGCAGTTCAAACAGCACAGAACCGGTTCCTCAAGGAGCATTTATTCAAAAGCAGCAGATCAATGAAACATAAGCTCATCCAGCCCCATTATCAGCCAGAAACTGCAAAAGAAACTTTTGAAGGAATCAGCTGAAACATTCCATCGAGAAAAGTCACCAGATCTGAACCCTGATATTCATCAAAGTCATTTCATTCTACATTTTTGTTATAAAATTAGCCTGGTTCTGATCCAGCAGAACCAGAACCTTCCTCCTCCCAGTTCTGATCCAAAAGAACCAGAACCTTTCCCCTCCTGGTTCTGGTTCTGACCCTGCAGAACCAGAGCCTTCCTCCTCCTGGTTCTGACCCTGTAGGACCAGAACCTTCCTCCACCACTGGCTCAGCTGTGACCAACAGGAAACATTCTCTGATTTCTGTTGGTGAAACTCACCTGCAGAGCGTCCTCTCACCTGAACACATGGAAATCAGGAGGAGCTCTGCGTTCTGATTGGCTGCTCTCCCTCAGGTGTGTCCTTACGTTTCCATAGAAACTATTTCCATACCAGGTGGTGACATCACAGCCATCGCCTGTGTTTACAGTTTCTGTTGACAAGACGACACACGCCTCACCTGAACACACGACACAGTGCGGTGTGGAAACCCTCACCTGTCCGCAGGCTGCAGGTGAACACGCCCAGCTCCGCGGAATTTTCCAGCTCAGGTGTGTCTCCTGTT